TGAATAACTCTAGAAGGAAGCAAATTGCGCCGATATCCTTTGAGGCTTTTTCATATCTCTATGTGACCTATCGATTGGCATATGAATGAAAAAAATCCGAGATGGACACCTCGGGAGGTTCCCTCGTAAGGAGGAACGATGCTTATTAGTTTTATGTCAATTATTATACGGTTAGTAACGGGGAACGATGGTAACGGTAACTGGTAACTGTCACAGCCCTACGTTGCAGAAACAGAAACACATACTATTTTATACCGTGAACTTAGACAATCGGAAGCACATCTTGTCGGTCAGGTTATTTTGATAAAAGATTTTATGTCAACTAGTCGTGATAAACAAATTCTTCTTTGCTATGCTGCAGCTTCACATGGACAAAATCGTCAATCCCAATCGTTACTTATTGAAATATATGTTGCTATGACGGAACCTGGTATTGCTCATTTAAGTAATTTTCCGAAGAACGTGAGGTTTTCTTCGATATATGAGTAGTCAAGTTCAAGTTGAATCATTAAAGTATGATTCATCGAATTTAATTTGGCATTGTCTATTAGTATCAATGTCAAATAAATCCCACACTATGCTATTATCTTAGCATATTTCATCCGATGACAGTTCTATTGATTTAAGTACATATAGCGGAGAAGTAAAATTAAAAAGATTAATGCGTCGAGAACACTGAGAAAAGTTTAGTTCAATACACACCGATCAAGAAAGTGATATCATTATGGCGCAAATCATCGTCAATATCCTGGATATCGACTAGATCAACAGATCGAGCACGTATTCTTCATCAAAAATCATTGATACATTGGCATCAAGATTCAGATTTACATCAACTTCCTTCGGAATGTAAACATGCTTGGGAACTTTTAAAAATGAAACTGATGATACTTTTATTGAAAATAATGATACTGATTATTTTTTCAATAATGTTGGATATATGAATTAACACTTAGGTGAGACAGAATTTGCCATTAGTTTACTTAAACAATCATTTGAAATAAGTTATTAATTTCAACCATCGGAACATCTTCGTGCTCAAAGTTGACGAAATTTAGGACTTGTGTAGACTAATCCAGTCAATTATGAATACGCATTAGGTTCACTTAATCAAGCACTTATCCTTGGTCAACAAGCTCGCCCTATTGCACGGAGGAGCACATCAAAGACTCTTCGTAATTATGGTTATTTCTGTCATATTCTAGGTGAGTATCTAAAAGCAATAGAATACTTTTTCAAAGCGTTAGAAATCTTCCGACAAATATGAGAATGTTTGTATTGAATATTAAATATGTAATCTAAATATTCTAAATTTAGTATGATAAATTGTATTAATAGGAACTTCCAAGTTGTAAAAAATATTTTTTATTTTCATTGTATCTCTCTCATAATAGGTTAGAATATACAACTTATTTTTAACGCTTTTGTACTATTTTTAGATAACTTTAAAACATTTAACCACATAAAAGCCACTGCAATATACGAATATTAGAATTTTTTATCTTTGAATCTGAAAACTGCTTTTCTAAAACCATATATTCTTACCAGGGTTCCGCATGGAATGAAATGAGACTGAAAAAGCGGTCTGTCTCATGGAATGGGATACTTCTCAAAAAAATTCTTATTCCGTCACGTGGGACGTTATACTCGTTAAATTTATTTTAAAAATCAAATTTATTGACACGTTTATCTTTTGGACTAATTCTGTGAGTTATTATATTATTTCACCTTTTATTTCATAATTTTATCTCAGTCAAGTTTATAATTTTTAATATTTATCACAAACAAAATATAACATCAACTAGAAAACATATGAAAATAAATAAACATAAACAAAGAGAAGAGAGTTTTTATCATAATGTTCCATAAGATATCCTTTAGAGAAATACATATAACACTGATTAATAACTATTTAATCAACAAATCTAATTATTATAAGAAAATAATGATCAATAAAGAATCAAGAAAAATAGTTCAATATTCTTCAGACAAATTTTATTTTTTATTTCAATATTAAATCATACAAGAATATGAACGAAAAAAGAAGTAAATAAAAATATTAATCTGTGTTTCTATTCTCGACAAAAAGTTGAACCAATTGTTGATTAAGATTAGTAAGGCTTTGTTTAATTTCTATCATATATTTATAATAAGCTTCATAGCCCCCATAATCATGAATTCGTTGAATAACTTTACCAACGCATGATTGCAACGATTTCTTATCCGATAAGCATACAAAAGCATAAAATTCATAATTATTACAAATGATGCGCATATGACGCATTAGCTTACTAATTTGAATCCTTTCTATATTGTACTTCTTCCTTAAATTATAAAATTGGCGTAAAGCAGGATCATCTGTGTCAGGAACTAGAGGTAAGGAACTGAATTGCTGTAACGATGGACAAGATTGATCTGCTTTACTCAGTGCAGTTGAATCGGTACATGTATTTATAACTTTAGGAAATGTAAAATTATGTTTGCGGGGTGATGATGAAACCATGAGTGATATAGCTTTTGATCGATCTTCAGCTCTACAACAATTATCTATGAATTGACATATTGCCAAGGGTCGGTGATTTTGAATTGCAGCAGGTTTTAATGATGAATATTGTTCCATTAAACGAGCTAATTCAATAACATTTTCATTGATTGATGTTGGTAAATTAAGCGAAACTCCATTCGTACCAACAACGAAAATAAAACAAGATAACGTGACCAGAATTCGATACATTATTGCCACATAGGTTTTTATTAATATAAATAAGATCGATGTTCTATTTATACTCGAAAAGAGGAATGAATTGCAATAACTTGAAGCGATTTAAATGATTAAAAGCAACGAAAAAATTCCAGATAATTATTTCTTACCAATTAGTGAATCAGAAAGAAAAGACAAAAAAGTGTTTAGAATTACTCGAGGCTTCGTTTAATGAGACAACTCGAGCGATCTTATTAATAAATATTTCACTTGATTATTCATCTAATCTTTTTCATCGAAAACAAAAATCAAAATCATCAATCTCTCTCAAATTTTGCCTTAAAACCAACCAAAAACTGTCGTATAATTATCAAGTTGTATCCAAGACGGTCAAAAAACGATAAAAAAAATGTATATGTCACATTGGCTGAGACATTCGCGAGTGACAAAGTGCATTCGTTAACATCAACATTATACAAACATTGTGTGTTACAGTAAGAAATTAAGTCAACATTTTCTTTTTCTTTTTTCAAAATAAATTTAGCTTTGCTGTGATTGTGAGATATTTTGGAAAAAGAAAAATTCATGTAAAGTACGATTATAAGAACAGAATGTGAAAGTACTAACTGTAATGAAAGTTTAAGAGTCTCACCTGCTTCCATTTTTGAACTATCGATTTTCCCAGTTTTCTGGTGTTTCTCCCTTTAGCAAGTTCACCACCAAATGCCAATAACTCAGTCAGTTTTCATCCAAAATGACTCAGATTTTCAGAACAAATTTAGTTTCGATCAGGAAACGTGCTTATTTAGTCAAAACTGTGTCCTTATCGTTTTCTGAGATTCCGGCTGTTCAAGAGGTTTTTAAAAAATCTAGAATTCGAAGAAACCTTGATATGATCTTTCCACTAACTGAGCATGCTGAACGGTCACAATTGACCAACCATCGAATACCACGCGAACACACGCTTAGGTCACATGGAAAGACTCGTCACCTGCTATCACTCGTCTCTCCAGCGATTGACGCTCCATGAGCATTGTCTCATCGACACGATTGATGGACACCGTCTCGAAGCGATGTTCAAACCGCGTTGATATCTAACGAAGCTTGATTTTTATTTCAATGTAATAACAAAGAAATCGACATGATCGATTACGTGAGTGATGATTCGATGAGTAACGTCCGCAATGATATCGGTGACATCTTCATCATCTCAATGCCATGTGCTTTTTTGACTATCCATCTTTTCGAACGATCTTAACGGATGGCACCTTCAACCCGTCATCCTCAAATTCTTGTACTTTATCGACCGGATCTTAACTTCACTTGCTCGACTTGTGCAAATTCGACCTGTCGATACCTCGAAATGCGACGTCTATAAGAAGTGCACAAGCGAGATCGTCCAACATCTGAGATGTATCTCTTTGAGATGAAATGCGCAACTCGTCTATACTGGAGACATCCAATATCGACAGACACTTCAAGAATCGATTTCGAATCAATTAACCTTGTCGAACTGAGATTAAGAAAATGCCTCTCGTCTGATCGTGTCGATAGAAAGTGAAGATCTTCACCGATCACATAATTCGATTCTTTGTGACATTCGATTCGCTCTCATCTGAAAAAGATCGGTGAAGATGAGTCGAGTAAATCTCCTAATTGCCTTTCAAAGTAGTGAATAAGTGTTTCTGGTTCTTGAATCGCTTAAAATGTGTTCTATTCCGTAGATTTATCGAAAATAACACTCCGGGTAGATATAGACAGTGAGGGGACACCTCCTATATCCTGATCGGGATATAAAACACGAAATTTCGTCGTAAAAACGATGAAGGGGAAAATGACGACATTGTGGGGTAAAATTGATTTCACCATTAGAAAGAGCTCGAAAACCTACATCGGATTCTGTTGTGTTTGATCAAAAGTGCATCAAGCACCCAGCAACTATTTTTTCAAACAAAAACCTTTAACTAATTTTAGTCGAATTTATATCCCGATCGGGAAATAGGCTGTTAATCTTTTATTGCTCATAATGGGATATACTCTTGATCTAATCGCTTTCCACGTCGACCGTGTTTTTTTATTTCTTCCTTTTCGATGCCCACATATATTGAAACACAATTCTTTTCTCATGCGTCGACAATATATAAAAATACGTGCTTTGTGTTTAACGGGGAATTTTCTGACTATCCCTTCTTGCAGATAAACTGCCTTATGTTCTTTATAAGTGAATCACAATTTGCTGTATCTTTTAAAACGTATATCGGTCGTGAAGCCAGCATTTCTGAAGATGCCAAGAGAACATCATCATTCCAGGCGTCGCGGCATTTATACTCATATTGCCTGACACGGCAACACTCGTTTTAAACTAATTAGATTTGATGAGAAACATGTTAATGTGGAAGTAAGAAATTACATTAACCAAGAAAACTTTTTAAAATAAATAAAGAAGAAGGAGAAGAATACAGCTCTCATATAATTAAAATTTATCATTTTCTTACAAACTAAAAATTAAAATTCTTGATGTTCTGATTGGGATATAGATTTTCTTCATATCCCAATCGGGATATAATTTCAAACTATATCCCGTTCGGGGTATAAAAAAATTTTGCTGCAAAAAATGATATCCTAATCGGGATGGGAGTACATCCCGATCGGGATATGTCTCCACACTGATAGAAGTAGAGTAAAAATCTACGCGTATATATAGATCAATATCATTCCTAGTTTTCCGAAAGGTTACTGCCTAGCTGTTGAGTTATATGGTCGACAATACGACTGTTTGACAAAAACAATCATATTGAAAAAAAATCTACTTTTTTGGTGTGTATTGACGGTCCAATATCTCTACAAATTCAGGTGATCTTCTTCTGAAAAACAGCTGAGTATAATGTGTAATTTGTGCACTCGGACTTAGAGTAAAAAGGGCAAGTAAGTACCCTCGACTTAATGCGATAGTAATTGATCAAGTTGATGGATTATGTATTATGTTCACAATGAGAAAGAAAAACGTAGAACACTAAATTCACGCTAAAATAGAAAATTTATTCTTTTTCATTTCGTTTATCAAACGTAAACGTTCTTATGAACCGTTTCACTTAGGCGGCGACTAGGTTACGTAGAACACTGCTCAAACGTATCTCACAGAACTGGTTCGAACCAGTCATAAAAGAAAACATGACCACAATAGAACATATTCCTTTGGCAAAAAGTTAGAATACTGACGAAGAATTGACGAAGCAAAAAGAGTACTTGAGTATTGCGTATGTTTTTTGATGTTACAGAAAGTACGAAGTAATGGTCGCTGTGGACCAGAACATGTAGGGCACGATTGCCTTATCGAACAAGCGTAGATGATTGTTTTGCACATTTATAATAAGTTGAATTATTATCTGTATTAGTAGGTGTCAGGTCTTCTTCCTTCGCCAATTCTTCGTCAGTATTCTAACTTTTTGCCAAAGGAATATGTTTGAAAACAGTGATCATAATAGAAATATGCAAAATATCTTGACTGATTTTCACGATATAAGCCTCCTCTTTTTTTCATTAAATTCAGAATCAAAACTTGCATACTAAGAACACATAACATTATACACTTCATATGTGGTTAATTAAAATTATAAGTTAGACTATTAGTAAAATACGATAAAGATTACAGACATACTTAGGATATCATAAAATTTCTTTCGTTTTAGGAATTACGAGCCACTTTTCGCATATGTTAAAGATGACGGTATTATTAACAACTTTTACACTCACGGTAGTACTGAAATCGATTTTTCGAAGTCTGTACAGATGCTTCTTTGAAATCGCCATGGATTTCAACGGATTGACTCTTTTTACCCCATAAATTTGAACAAGTGACTGACTCTTTTTACCCCAAAACATCAAATTTAAAAAATGACACGTTCTGTTGTGGTCTAAGTAGCTTAATGAAGGTAACAAATATGAAGATCAAAATCATATGGTTCGATAGAGGAAGAGTAGAGCTTCACAGTGATATAATTTTTAATTAATTAGCACTCATCGTTAATGAGCTACGATGCTTTTAAAAAATCTCCATGTATTTCAATGGAGTGACTCCTTTTACCCCATTGACATAAGTGAGCTGATTCTTTTACCCTGTGTTAGGTAAAAAGAGTCAGTCACAATCAGTCGACTCCCGTTTGAATATGTCTGGAAAACGAACATGAATTTTCAAGAAATTTTTTGTACTATTGTGTAGATAATTGTCTGCTTTACTATCGTGGTGAATATCGAATTTTTTCAGTTAAAAACGGAGAAGAAATAGTGAAATTACGACGAAAATTTCGTGAACTGACTCTTTTGATCCCACAGTACTCTATAGTCTATCTTCTATGAAAACGATCCATAATTATCCTACTCAAACATTTTTAATTGACTATCTGTTTAATATACAGAAATTCGTGTAGCTTAAATTTTTTTCTTTCTTCTTCTATTATATAAAATGACAAAGAAGGGAAAAAGAGAAACTGTTCAAAACTTAAACTCATCGCAACTTTTACCTGCTCAATACTATGCAGCTCAATAAAAGCTTTAAAAATCAACAGAAAATACTTTGATTTTGAAAAGGTTTTCTAGTAATCTTCTGAAGCACAAGAATGTTTTTTACTATACGCAAGTAGAAAATCGTATTAAGCAGAAGGTAGAGTACATCTTGGTATTCTGACATACACCGCGAATGTCCAATATAATTCCTGCTTTGTACAGAAAGTCTCTTCCGAACAATATTAATTGATTGAATTTTCGTGTTAGGAAGCTTTTCAATCTTTTTAGGGTTTTGGAAAGCTTTTTAAAAGCTAAAAAGAAACTGAAACGAGAATTCTTTTTAACAGAAAACAGCGAAAGAACGAAAACAGAGAAATTAAGCATCAAAGCTGTATTTTCACAAGCCAAATCGTCTTTCGAAGACCGGTTTTCTACTAGTTCTTTGGAAAACGACTTAGGATTTCTGGAAACCGATACACAGTAGTCTATCGTTTTTTTTCATAGATAAATAGTTCGAACTGTCTTCTACC